CTCACGTGAAGGAAGAGCGGGCTGGGCTGGAACCGGTGCTAACTCTTGTGGAGGAGCTAGATCCTCAGGAGCAGGCGGAGCAAGATGAGTTGAAACCAGGTTGAGGTGATGTCCCATCTGTGCTACGTTGGCGGCTAGTGATGCGAGGTTATCCATAACCTCTCTGAGCATCTGGTCATGCCGGCCCACGAGGACGCCTTGGTTGGAGAGAGCCTCACGAATTGGGTCCGTGCCTGCTGGGTCCATGGTGGCCAGATTGTTCTGTTAGGATTATGTTTTTTAAACAGGACCCAGGCGCAGGCAATGACTGAAGATGTTTAAATGGTTTATTGTTTCGGAGACTCAGGCAGGTTTGGTGATTATGGAGGTCCGGAGTGGAGGTAGGCAGTGAGAGGCTGGACTGATTACAAGGCAGGCAGGTATGATGCAGGAAGAAGCAAGCAGGTTGGCTGGAAGCTCTGGTGGATGATGGCCGAGGGATTGCACTGGAAACACAAGAGAAACTAGTTACAAAAAGTACGGAATAACACGCAGACAGGATAACTGAATGGGCAGCCAGGAGGATGTAATACCACTGGTGTAGAAAACAATCTGGCGGTGAGTTGCTGGGAGACTGGAGTAGATAAGCTGTTTCCTGATTAGATGATGAGGGACAGCTGAGTCGGACGGCCAGGTGAGAGCAATCAGGCTGCTGCCTGCAAGGGAAACCACACCCTCTCCACACACACACAGGGGAACAAACAGGGACACAGTTTGGACCGTGACAGCCAGACCATTTTTAAATTTTGATCAGTATCTAAAGGGCATTTAAAAAATCTAACAATGTTTTTAAAAAGACATTCCTTACCCAAAATGTGATAATAAAACGCATCAAGCAATTTAAATGAATGACCACAAAACAGCTCTGCCTTACGAAAATAGTACCCGGATCACAGATTTTCACTTGATCTCTTCACAACCCTTTTTGTTCACATGGTTTGCATCAGATGATGTGGTGCGTTGTATAAACACTGTTCCCACTGCAGGATAATGGTAGCCAGAGATTCATGGATGGCCACACTCAATCTGTTAAAAGGCAGTACTTGCCACGAATCCAAAACAAACGGGACATTACCTCAATTATTGAGTCTGAGGGATTTAATGCATTGCCTCACCTGCTAATGCTCCTTACTCCAGTCAGCACATTTGTCACATCTCCTCCCTTCCATCTCAGCAAATAAACATTAGAGCAAATGATGACTTTGCTCACCTAAACATATGGGGATTCTCTCTCACTTACTTTCACAGATGTAGCGAGTGATAAAGAGAGAGGGAGAGGAGAAGGTAGAGAAAGTACATTTGATTGTCTCAGGTTCTATTAAGTGAGCTACGTGCTTTGAAGGTATATCTAGTCAAATTACTTTGGATAATGAATGTTGATTTCAGTGATCATTGACATTATGAAACGAGCCCTGGAAGCGCTCATAATCAGCAGTGAGGGATGGGGCATGGAGGTGGAGGGCAGTGGTGGCGCCAGGGGGCGCTGAAGCACCCCCAAGGATAGCCATAGCACCCCCAAGAAATGTATGCGTCTTTTTATTTATTTAAATTAGAAAAAAATTATTCATTACATCAATGCTAGTGAAACAAACACATTTCTGACCAAAAACATAAAGCCAACACAGGTGATATGATTAGGCCAATGGCCAGCACCCATTACATTTTTGACCTACCCATAGGCTAAATTACTTTGTGACACTTGACTGACTTCCTGTTAGCGAGAGCGCAAATTATTTGCTAACGTTTAACGTTAATGTTTAGCAAAGTGAAAAATAGATCGTTTTTTTGTCCTTAAACGTCCACGTGTGGAGTGTTTGTATCTCTTTTGTTTTTATGTTGAGTCCTTTATATAATTGATAAAAGCTGCCCCCTCAAAATAATATGTCACTGTCAACAGATGCCTGCGAGTTCACTGACTCTCAAACACATCAGCCTGGGAGTTTTCAGAAATTAATTGGCACAGTTATTTGTGATAATTTAAGTTATCTAACCTTGTTTGTTTGAGGTTGAAATCCAAATCACTTAAAAGAAATGAAGGTAAAAACAGCCCGTATTCCATTACTGCTCATGTTGTTTTTGCCTCTTGTATACACACGCATCTTCCCCATTCTACCACATGAACACCCACACTTATGCCTTCCCCCAATAACACACAGCCTGTTGCAATCAGCTTGAAAAACATTTTTATAAGAGCGTGTGTGTGGACAGTTCTGAGAGCATCACGCATCTGACTGAGTTTGAATGTAGAGACTGTGAGTTATAAAACTGTTCACTTCATGTATCTTAAACACGTCAAAACGTGAAAAACTACGAGAAACACTGTGCAGAAACTGAGTTCAGAGCTATCCTGTCCTTACACCTCATATTACAAATACGCAGTCCCTCTGTTTTATGTTTTCAATTTAATGTGTTCAAGGAGAGGATCTGACCTAGATGTTACACTATCCCTGATTCAGTAGAAGAAAGAGAAGTTGGCGACCCCAAGGTAGGATAATTCAGCATTGTGAATTGGGAAGATGGATAGGACCATTATTATTTACCTGAGAGCCTGATGCCCTTGTGGCTGAGCTTTGGAAAATCCTTGGAAAAGCAGCAGCTTCAAACCTTGCCCATACACATGTAATGGTCATTCTCTAAAGGGACTGTGAAAAGCTGCTCTCCCAGCCGGATGAGCATGTTTGACCTCCAGTTATCCCACAGGGTCCCTGCAGAGAGTGCAATTGATCAAGCCCCGTTCTCTACAGCACCTCACCCCTCTACATCTTGAATACCCACACACCTAATGAGGGTTCAACAAGTGTGTAGTATGAAGTATTGTGTTGTGATGGTCAGGAAAATCAGATCATGTGTGATGTTCTTTATGCTACTCATTCATTTTCTCTCTGTCCCTCTATCTCTCCCAAAATTATCAGCTGAATACAGGTGGGTACTCCTTTAGTTAACTCAACTTAATTTGCTGCGATCTCCATGAACTAATCAAAACACTGATTTACACTAAATCAATATAAATGGAAAACATTAAAGAGCAACTTGCAGGTTAGAGACACCAGTGAATAAATGTGTAGGAAAATTATGTATACACTAGATTTTCCAAAAGATATACATAAATATACACTACAGTGACATCTGGCGACGTTTTTGTAAGACAATTTTACTTCCGCATAAAAAAAGCCTCCCCATGTGACCTCCCGCGTGTGACGTCACATGGGGGAGAGCGGCCGGTCTAACGTAGTAATAAACATGGTTCACAATGCTAGTTTTGACACAGAAGAGGTTGAAAATAAATATTCGAATGCATATGACGGACCACAACCATATAATTATGAGCCTGCTAGGCAGCCAAGAGACCAGGAGCCAAGGATTAGAAGAAATAACGGCCATCAGCGCGAAATGGAGTTTTGGTGTGAGGAGAATCAGTGGAGAACAGGGCAGCTGTCTTGGTGAGTGACATTGGTCACATCGCAACATTGTGAAGTTAGCTATAATATATCAGGCTATAACTAAAGTAATATTGAGAATATAGTAACGTTACTGGCAGGACTGTTGATACTGATCCATAACTGAAACTAATGCGCAAGTATCAGCCGTACCTCGCGTTTGTTACGGTATCTGAGAGGACCCAAACGCAGGACACGGCACTGCGTTGAAAAATTGTTTATTTATTAGTGGACGAGGTGCAGGGAGTAGAATCCGGCTGGAGTGGCGAGGACGTGACGGCAACACGGCGGTCGGAGAATGATCCTGGAGCACAAGAAGAAAACACGTTAGACGCTAAAACATCCAGGTATGAGAAAATAGCTATAATGCTAAGTAGCCTTGAAGTTATACCACTGTGGTTTTACAACGATCTGGCGGAGAAAGGTTGTGGAGCCTCCGTTGATATGCCGTTGTAAATGGCTTGATGGAAAGCAGGTGTGTAGTCGGGGAGGGTGCACAGCTGATTGCAGCAGGTGAGTGGAGGTTAAGCTGGGAGCCAGGAGTGACAGCCACCACCACGCCCACACAAACAACACAGACAGGGGAAAACAAACAAACAAACAAACAAACACAAAGGAGACGGCTGGAGGAGTACAGCCACCACAACGTTACCTAATGCAACTCCACACTACGTCTTACGCTGCTGTGTACCAGAGGGGAGAGAGAGAGGAGCGAAGGGGGGGAGAGAGATGTAATACGGTTTCCTGATAAACGTTTTGTTTGATAGGCCTCAGCTGTGGAGAGTATGTGCTGCAGGGAGGTAGATGCACCTCGCACATGGGCGCGGGAAGGGGGGTGCTGAGGGCGCTGCAGCACCCCCTAGCGGCAGGCAGGGGGTGCGGAGCTCCCCTGTCTGAATTATTATTTGACGGTTATTGCTGCTCCCGCTGTGCATAATCTGTGTAATATGTAGCCAATAAATTCCACATTGTTGGTAAAAATAATATTTTGGCCTGCCCCGAATGTTGTTTCTGTAGCCCCGGACAATTCTACCTCAATAATATAATACATTAAAGGGAAATGGAAACACTTTTCAAACTGCTTTCCATGCAACAATATTCCCATTAGGAAATGTATTTATCTAGTCTATTTCCAATGTAAACGATCGAGATACGCAAATTTATTTTTTGAAATACGTGCCTAATGACCATGGGCTCTTCCATTGCTCCGGGACTTTCCCAGTGACATCATTGAGTGGGTACGGCTTCCTGGGCCAAAGCTCAATAACAAACAACATGGCGTGCAATGCACCAGTAGTTTACATTAAAAGAAAACGGTCGTCGTCAGGAGTTTATTGTATTGCCCCAGGCTGCACAAATGGATTTTATACGAAGAAGGAAGAAGTACATTTCCATAGGCTACCACTAACGGATGAGAAGCTGCTCAAAGCATGGGTTATTTCCATGAAACGGTCCGATCCGCCGCTGAATCAGTACGCACGTATGTGCAGCGAACACTTTAAAAATGACGATTATGTCCACAAAATGAGGTTTGATGAATCTGGATGCCTGGTTCAATACAAAACATCGGATTTGAAGCCAGGATCTGTTCCCACAATATTCGATTTCTCAACGTATGCAGTCGGGAACACCGACCGTCCCAGCACGTCGGCCGCGCAAGACAATGACAGTGTCAACAAACGTGAAGTTCGAGCCACCAAACGAGTTGCTTCAGCTGCCGAGAGAGAGGTAAATATTGCAGCACTACCAGATTACTAGCTCACACATGTATTTACTGACACAGTGTGACCTTATTAATTAACGCAATCGCGTCCAAACTAAATGGTAGCTATTATTATGACGTACAATGGAGAATTGGGGGTGTTCTATAGCTCAACTAATTAAACTGGCATACACACGCTCATCTGTCGAAAACAGCCCTAAAAAGGCTAGTATTGCTGGACTAGGTGTTCAATGGATGGTATTGCCAAGATGTATGAGGTGTTGGAAAATAATACAAAATATATGTCAACTGACTACTGGTACATGTGGTAGCCTGGTAGGAGTATACTTCATCAAAATGACTGCCCATCCTTAGCCCTGCTTGAGTATTTTCTGAACATATGCTTAATAATAACACAATCCTTTATAAATAATATATTTTGCTCTGAGTAATAACAGTTTGAGAGTTTGCTTAAATAGTCTTCAAAAACAAATATTTTCCTATTTTTTTTACAACGGCCGAGATACACATAGGTCTACATAATTATAGGGCATCTCCATGGAGCTCAGGCTGATTGTTTGCTCTCTGATGGGCTGTGGTGGCTCGATCACGTTCTTTTAATTCTTAGGTTTCTATGAACAGTTTCTTTATTTTACCATTATGGAATAATCACATTGGTAAATAGTGGCGATGGAGTTTTTCCGGCCAACTTATCATAGTCATGATTTTGAATATTTCTAGTTCACCTTAACCTGTAACATATTTATATTGTTTTGTTTCAGGTCAAACGAGCTGTCCATACTGCTGCAGGATTGTTGTCCTGTCAGACAGAAGATACATCCTGCATAGGTGCTGATGATGCAAGTGATGATTCCCAGGTACTGGAGGCACACACAACTAAACGTGAGCAGTCAGTGACTGTGGCCACACAGACGGAACCACTGGAACCATGCCCGTGTAAAACTGTGACTTTGGTGAGTGTGCAGACTGGGACCGATGACATCAACAACAGTCAGTTGCTCAGTCATGATCATCCATATTGCGTCAGCAGGGACATTGCTGGTGGATCCGCCACACTGGCACCTGCAGATGCAATGGCCAAAGCACCACCGAGTCCAACACCTGATGTGTCAATGCCTGAAGAAGATGCTTCCAGCTCTGGGGAGAGCATTCCAGGGACTGAGCCTTCTTCGTCGGACTACAGCCCTACTGAAGATGACATTATACAGAATGACAGCGAAGACAGCGAGGATGATGGAGAACATTCAGTGGATGGCGGAGAAGATCCAGTGTCAGACAAAAAATATCTGGTATCCCATGTACAACTGATGAAGCTGTTTTGTGTATGCAACTTTGCCGGATGCGGAAAATGTGTGATCAGCAGGCCGTACTGTTCAGCCAAAGGCTTTGGACTGACAGTGAAAACTGACTGCATAGATGGCCATGAGTTTGTGTGGATTTATCAACCCCTCTTAAATGGCACAATGTCCTGCAACCTGTTAGTGCCAGCCGCGATTTTCCTGACTGGAAATGCTTATGGCCCATTTTCTGAGATATGCCAGTGTCTGGGCCTGGAATAACTCTCGACAAGACACTGCTATAACATCCAGAGAGTGTATGTGCTGCCGGAAGTTACCAGTGTCTGGAACTTGCACAATGAGGCAGTGATGGCAGCAACTGGCGATCAGGTTGTCACTGTGTCAGGCGATGGGCGATGTGACAGCCCTGGTCATTGTGCTACGTTTGGAACGTACACCATGCTTGATATCAACTCAAGGCTCATCATTGCCCAGCAGACAGTGAAGGTGACAGAGGTCAACAATAGCTACTGGTTGGAGCTTGTTGGACTTGAAAGATGTATTTCCAAACTACAGGTATTCTATTGTTAGTTTGTTTATTTCACAGGTCAATAGTACATGTAGTATTGCTACAATATATTGTATAATCTTTTGTCTAATTTTAAATAACGATTGTCAATTTAGAATAGAAAGGCAAGGCAAGGCAAGGCAAGTTTATTTATATAGCACTTTTCAACACAAGGCAATTCAAAGTGCTTTACAAAAAATGAAAGAGATTAAGAAAATGGCTAATAAAATACAAATTAAAGGAAAAAAAATACATGGCAGTCAATTAAACATTAAAAGAAAAAAAAGTACATGGATAAAAGTTACAGTGCAGTCTAAGATATGAATAGTTCAATTAAAAGCAGCGACAAAAAGAAAAGTCTTCAGCCTGGATTTAAAAGTAGTCAGAGTTGTAGCGGACCTGCAGGTTTCTGGGAGTTTGTTCCAGATATTTGGAGCATAATAACTGAACGCTGCTTCTCCATGTTTAGTTCTGACACTGGGGACAGAAAGCTGACCAGTCCCTGAAGACCTGAGAGATCTGGATGGTTCATAATTTAGCAGGAGGTCAGAAATGTATTTTGGGCCTAAACCATTCAGTGCTTTATAAACCAGCAGCAGTATTTTGAAATCTATTCTTTGACACACAGGAAGCCAGTGTAAAGACTTCAGAACTGGAGTGATGTGATCCACTTTCTTAGTGTTAGTGAGGACTCGAGTAGCAGCGTTCTGAATTAGCTGCAGCTTTCTAATAGATTTTTTAGTGAGACCTGTGAAGACACCATTGCAGTAGTCAAGTCTACTGAAGATAAAAGCATGGACAAGTTTTTCCAAATCCTGCTGTGACATTAGTCTTTTAATCCTAGATATATTCTTTAGGTGATAGTAGGCTGATTTAGTAACAGTTTTAATGTGACTGTTGAAACTCAGGTCAGAGTCCATGACTACACCTAGATTTCTGGCTTTATCTGTTGTTTTGAACATTGCAGACTGAAGCTCAGCGCTAACTTTTATACGTTCTGACTTGGCTCCAAAAACCATTACCTCAGTTTTATCTTTGTTTAATTGGAGAAAGTTCTGACACATCCAGTCATTGATTTGTTCAATGCACTTACTCAGTGTTTGAATTGGAGCATAGTCTCCTGGTGAAATTGTCACGTAAATTTGTGTGTCATCCGCATAGCTATGGTAACTTATTTTGTTGTTCTTCATTATCTGAGCCAGTGGTAGCATGTAGATGTTAAAGAGAAGAGGCCCCAAGATGGAGCCTTGAGGAACCCCACATGTCATATTTGTCAACTCAGATGTGTATTTACCTATAGAAACAAAGTTGTTTCTGTCCTTTAAGTAGGATTCAAACCAATTCAGAACTGTTTCCGAAAGTCCCACCCAGTTTTCCAGTCGGTCTAGTAATATGCTGTGGTCAACAGTGTCAAACGCAGCACTGAGATCTAATAATACTAACACTGAAGTTCTGCCACTGTCTGTGTTTAAGTGGATGTCATTAAAGACCTTTACAAGAGCAGTCTCAGTGCTGTGGTTTGGACGAAAGCCTGACTGGAACACATCAAAACAGTTATTTAAATGCAAGAAATTACTCAACTGTTGAAAAACAACTTTTTCAATGATTTTACCTAGAAATGGCAGGTTTGATATGGGCCTGTAATTGTTCATTACTGAAGCATCTAGATTATTCTTTTTTAAGAGCGGTTTAATGACTGCAGTTTTCAGGGCCTGTGGAAAAATACCTGAGTGAAGAGATGTGTTTACTATATGAAGTAGATCTGAGGCCATGCAAGGCAAAACATCTTTGAAAAATCCTGTTGGAATAATATCAAGGCAGCAGGAGGAGGATTTCAGAAGTTGAATAATGTCCTCTAGGTTTTTATCATTAATCTGATGGAATTGTGTCATGATGTCTGAATTGATGTTAAGTGGAGATAGGGACAACACATTTGCTGTTCCTGATGCAGAGGCACTGACTGCTTGTCTGATTTTCTGAATTTTGTCAGTGAAAAAGGAGGCAAAATCATTGCACGCCCTGGTGGATAGAAATTCAGAGGCTACTGACACTGGGGGGTTAGTTAGTCTGTCGACGGTAGCAAACAAGGCACGTGCGTTGTTTTTGTTTTTGGTAATGATGTCAGAGAAGAACGATTGTCGTGCGTTTTTCAATTCCAAATTATAAAGGCCAAGTCTCTCTTTATAGATTTCAAAGTGAACCTGGAGATTTGTTTTTCGCCACCTGCGTTCAGCTTTTCGACATTCTCTTTTTTCTGTTTTCACGGTCATGGCCTTTCTCCATGGAGATATTTTCTTGACAGACACTTCCTTTACCTTAGTTGGAGCAATGGCATCTATAACATTTTTAATTTTTGAATTAAAATGATCTACTAGCTCATTTACTGAGATGTTAGCAGGGGCAAGTGTGGAAGAAAAATTCTGAGTAAACATTTCCCTAGTGTTTTCAGTTAAATATCGCTTTGTGGTTACCTCTTTTTGAACATTTTTGTGAACAGAAATAGAGCTCTCAAAGAAAACACAGGAATGGTCAGAGAGTGCAACATCAGTCACCACAACCTTAGAGATATTCACACCCTTTGAGATAATGAAGTCCAGAGTGTGCCCCTTATTGTGCGTGGGCTCCGTCACATGCTGAGTCAGTCCATAGCTATCAAGAACACAAAACAGTTCTTTAGCCCCTCTGTCCTGGGGGTTGTCAACATGGATGTTAAAATCACCAACAATGACTAGACGGTCAAAGTCAATACACACTATAGACAGCAGTTCAGTAAAGTCATCAAAAAAGCTTGCACAGTATTTGGGTGGTCTATAGATATTTAGGAACAGAGCTCGAGAGGAGTATTTCAGCCGAAGGGCCACATATTCGAAATAATCAAAGTTTCCATACGCTGTCTTCCTGCATTGAAGGGCATCATTGAACAGAATAGCAACTCCACCTCCTTTCTTATGCATTCTTTCCTGACTCATAAAACTAAAGTTGGGAGGGGTTGATTCGATAAGAACAGCTGCACTGTTATTTTGTTCAATCCAAGTTTCTGTTAAAAACATAAAATCGAGATTGTGCTCAGTGATAAAATCATTGATTAAAAATGTTTTTCCTGCCAAAGACCGGACATTTAATAAAGCTAGTTTAAGTTTGTTAAACACACTATCAGTCATGTTTTTTGTAACAAGCTGTGGCTGACATGGAATCACTGCTAAATTAGATACACTCACACAAACGTTTGAGCGCTTCCTGTTTCTATGATTCACCGCTCTTAATCTATTACCTATCAACACAGATATCGGCAAAGCTACTGGCAGGCAGGGCCCCGACATGTCCTGGAAAGAGTTGAGAGTGCCATACGCCCTTGAGCCTGGACCCATCACATATCAGTAAGAGTTTGTTGTGTTTTGTACACACACATCCTTATCAGGCTTCGGAGACTGCAGATGCCCCCTCGAAGGGAGGGGAGGTGGTCGACGTAGGCACGGTGATGGAGACGGGCGAGATGGTGCAGGGGTAGAGGACATGCTGCCAGGGGGGAAGGTGGTTGACGTAGGCGCGGTGATGAGGACGGGGGAGATGGTGCGCGTCTCCGCGGTGATTTTGGTGGGCGTCGTTGAGGAGCGGGGGTAAAGGACATGGTGCCAGCCCTGCGTATCGCCTTCGTTTGGTCTTTGAACTCCAGGAAGGAATCGGTGCCAACCCTCTGTATCTCCTTTGTGTGTTCATCGATCTCCAGGAGGGTGGGCGAGGGTGAAAGGGTGAACGGAGTATCCTCAAAGGCGTTGACAGGGGGGGGGGGGGGGGTGACGGGCAGTGGAGACTCCTCCATTTGTCTCATAGGTCTCCCATAATCAGAACATTCCTCAGGCGGGTGCAGTGATAATTCTTCAGGGTTTTCTGCGTGATGTGTTGTGTCTTTCTCGTGTTTTGATTCCTCTTGCCGCTTGTCCTTGGCAGAGGGAACAGATTGATGACGCAGGCAGTTGAATATGTTAGAGATAAACAATTTCACTCCTGACTTGTTCAGGCAAACTCCATTTGCCTTGAAAAGATGTCTGCGATCCCAGAAAAAGTTAAAATTGTCAATAAAATGAACAGAATGGTCAGTACAGGCCGTTGAAAGCCAGGTGTTCAGTGCAAACAATCTGCTGAATCTCTCCACTCCTCTTCTGACTGGCGGGTAGAGGGCCACTGATGAACACCTCTGCATTTAGAGAGCTGGCAGTTTCCAACAAACATTTAAAGTCTTCTTTCAGCACTTCTGACTGTTGTTTCACAACATCATTTGTTCCAATGTGCAGTACCACATTCTTCACAGTCGGATGTTCAGCCCCAATATGCAGGATCTTCTCAGCCAAGTCAGAGACCACATCCTTGGGAAAACAGAGTACTTTGGTGTTGTTCTTATTACACAGACCTTTTACATCTCTTACAGCAGAGTCACCCACAATCAGAGTTTCAGGCCCAGTCGTTAGCTTTCCCTCTAGCCTTTTACTTTTAGAGTAGCTATTGGTCCTTACCCTGCTGCGTGAAGAGGACAGGTTATCCAGGTCATCAGATCTCCGGTTCTCGGTCAGCGGAGCGTATCTGTTCTGGATTGGCACACTTGGTGGTTTAGGAGGATTGTTTGTAATTCTCCCTTTAGCAGCTGTCCACTGCTGTTTCCTAGTATGAATAGGGGTTGAAGAGGCGCTCTTCCTGGGTGATAACAATGCAGGCCAGC